GGGGGAGGGGTGGAGGTTTAGTAAGGCGGATAGAATGGCATGTTCTGTCCCAGACGCATGGAGGGTGGAAATACTGTGAATATGTTATACATAGTAGGTTTGTGGGTGAACCTATCAACAGTGCGTCCACAGTTAACGTGTGCGTGTACACTGGCGGAAATCCCACATAATGTACCTCCTTACAAGTCTGTATCAAAAAATGCTCAGGATCAGGGCAAAGGCCCTGATCCTGAGCACAACACTGCTGCTTTAGTCTCTGAATAAAACAACATATGTGTCCTAAAACAGGAGGATTTATGGTCTGACTGCTTGCTTAGTTGGTTTCTTGTCATTCTTTAAATGTTCATGGATGCTTCAGACATGGTGGCACTTGTGTTAGACTCTGATATCATATGTTTATTACAGCAAGCGAAGGAGTCCTGCAGAGCCCACAGATAGAGAGCAGGACCTGAGCTGTTTGCTTTCCTGAAGCTGGGTTGAGAAGGAGCCTTCAGTGTTTTGCTTTGCTCTCTGGAGACCCTGTGATTTATTTAAAAAGCTTGTGGAATACTGACTGACCGTAAAAGGGCATATCGAGAGGGAAGTTTTTTTTCTTTTTTCTTTTTTTTAATCCGCTGTGGTTACTTTGTTGAGAAAGTTGATCGCCTCTATCGTCATAAGATCGTGGTACGATTCGAGCCAGAGATTTTGTTATGATAGTACCAAGAAAGCATTTTTTGATACAGACTTGTAAGGAGGTACATTATGTGGGATTTCCGCCAGTGTACACGCACACGTTAACTGTGGGAATTAAGGTGACTTGAGTGAATTGCTTTATTTCCATTTGGGCTGACATCCCCGGAGCAGATAAACTCTGAACTCTGAGGTCGTGTTGCTAATCCCACACTAAACGGAAACAAAATCAGAGCTGCAGCCCTCTTGTCTTTCAAACTGGAAACACAAATTCATTCTTAAAGTGTCTGAAAGCAGGCGATTGAGAAAACGGGCCTTGCCTCAAGTGCTTGAATTGTTTGCCTCCAATCAATGGCACTTAGTTTTAAAAGCTCCAATACATGGATGTTTTTGAAATTATAAACTTTTCACTGGTTATGAGTGCAGACACTCGCTTGGCCTCTAAACCATCCTCTACCTCGTGCACTGTGCAAGTTTGCCCTTTATGTGTCAGCTGTAACTTGCAATACTCGTCTTCAGAGGGCCACTTATGTAACCGGGTAGGCTGAGCGGCAGAAACGCATCATATCGCCCTGCTTCACCAGTCCTTTCATCTGATAACACTTGTGCAGCCCATCTCAGCCTCCTCTGGGCTCACCTTGTTTGGGTTTAATTACTTGGCTTATCTGAGGAGGAATTTGTCACCAGCTCCCAGCTCCATATGACTACATTAGTCGGTCTCCATTTCCCACCTATCAGGGCTTTAATTGAGGAAATGGGATCCTACTGCAGGTATTGTGCTTCCCAAGACTCTAGTTTGACATCTTCAATCATCTTGCACAAGCACAAGTTTTCAAAGATGAGTTGAAAACAACAGGAAGTTGGTTATTTGAGGCTTGAAGTTACTTTAAAATGCTGATTTCTGTGAGGCTTCCTTCACAATCACATTAGCATGCTGACACGATGACAGTTTTATTGGATTAAATGGGACTTACACCTACTATCAATACTTGGATGCAAATTAGCATCGCAAGTCACAGGATTTTCTCAAGTCTGTGTCTCATTTTTAAAAATATCAAACCGAGGTTGATGTTGTTTCGAGTCTGTCACTAAAGCGATCCCATCCAACACCATGTGGTGCTGCACTGAACCGCCTCCTCCTCGGTGTTCTTTCTATAGAGGAGCTTCGTGTTCTCTCAAGAGTCATGTAACAGCTCTAATAATCTCCTCACTACTTCAGCCCTCTCCCTCCCCACTTGTTCCCATCATCCCTTCAGCACCGCACAACGCTGGGGGTTGTTGTTATTGGTTTGAGCGCGTGGCAGCCCTTCATCTCGACACAGACGACGCGGAGTGCGGCGTTGTCAAGCCGCGAAAAGCAATAACCTGATAGTTTTGAGTAGTCTCTCGGAGATAATGGGAGCCAGAGAAGTTGGGCATTAGGTACAGAAGGAGAGCAGTGATGATGTTGTTTGTTCCCGGCAGCTCTCGCCTCCCTCTCCGAAGCCGCGGAGCCGGACAGGGGTGCACACACATTAGGCCAGCATTACTGTAAAGCTCCGGGTGCAAAGGGGTTGTAAAGTTTGAGGTGAGCATCCACGTGCACTCAAGTTCCCACTTAGGAGCCTGAGGTCTTTCATCACTATGAAGCATTAGATGCAAAGATTGAGGGGTTTATTGGTCAAAGTGCCATTGTTTGGGATAGTAGCCGGCTGATCGTAGCAGTAAAACTTCTTGACCGGTGGAAATGTGCCAGTGTAGAAAGCTCAGGTCCTGAGCTCTGATCTCATCTCTCAAGTACTGCATCAAACTTGATGCCAACATAAAGCTCTCATTAGAATGAAATACAGCCTGGTGAGTGTATTTAGAAGTATGCACACTATGATGTAAACAGTGAAGAAGTGTGAGCAAGCGTAGGGAGATTTTTCCATTTTTCTTATTATTATGGGGGTAAATTCTACATTCTGGTGCTGCTTAGCATGTTATTAACACTCCCAGGAATTAAATTAGGTTCTCCTATTATTTGTTTTTATGGGAATTGGGCCTCTGACTCTTCTAGGCTTTTTTCTCCTAGAATGCATGTTTTTTCCAACACATCTTCCCTCTGGGTGGTGCAAGGTGGTGGTATTTCATGCAATGTTAGTTTTTAACTCAAAGCTCAGTGGTTTTAATGAAGGTGTGTGTTTCCATGTGTCAGTGTGTAGATATTAATATTAATTAGTGTCTAATAGA